TGTATCACTTAAACAAATTAACCTTAATAGCAAGCATGTACATTTTTGGAATTTGAGATTTTTAGTATTTATTAACAGCACCAAGCCCTTTGTCTTATCAATATTTGTCTACAGAAGACCAGATTGTCAGCACTAGTAATCAGGCATATGAAATGCATGGTTTGTTCCTAATTCCAGAATCCTCTAAAATTGCAACTGCAGGTAAGTGATGGCATTTATCATTCCTTAATCTTCAGCGTAAATCAGGAATTCAGTTTTCAACCACATGAGATGTAATAGGGAGTTGAAAGCCAAAATACAAGTAGGACCATGCATCACAATTTCTGATTAGCCGAAAGTGGAGGACAAGTGGAATGAAAATTCATTCTTGTGGATTACAGCTCTTGTGCAGTCCAATTCCTTCTCATAATTTAGAATAACATTAATGTTCTCTTTATCTTTACTCTGAGCTTTTGAGAAGATGCAGAGCTTGTCTGTCAAGTTTGGTCTTGTTTTAAGACTATTATCTAAAAGCAGTAGGAAAGCCATAAATAGATCTTTGATCCTTTCAAATACAAACAAAACACTGTGAGAGAGCCCAGGACCTGTAATTTTTTTTCACACATAGGAAATTGCCCAGCATAGTCCTGTCATGTACTGCAAACACTCAACGGGGGTGGGATTTTCACTAATGCTCAGCATTGGCTTAACTTGGCTCCCATTGAAGTGAATGGGAATTTTTACCATTGACCTCAGTGGAAGCAGGGTTCAGTAAATGGTGTGTCTTTTGAAAAATTCCCTTCTTACAAAGAGGAGTTGGATGAGAGCTTGCCAGAAATGACTTGCTGTGTCAACCACTACTGCTCTAGGTTGTCTTCAAGTGTGGTTCCAGTGATCAGCAAACAGGCCCCAGGCAGGGCACTTCAAAGAGAAAATGAATGCACTTTCCCTGAGCAGGATGCCTGCAACATAGCCAGGATAGAAAGGAGTGAGGAGGGTCTGGGCTCAGCTATAATGAGTTACCCTGTCATGAAGGGATTGTGTTGGCACATGTATCTGTTTGGATGGTCCTACGATCCACACCAATTGGCAGTGCAGGAGTGGCTTACTGGCAGGAGCCTTTTGCCTTTGTTAGAACAAGGCTGTGCCTAGACCATTTTTAGATAAGATGCTAAACTCCAAGTGTTTTTACTGTTTTACTTTGCCTGGCTTTAACCCAGGTGATATGTTATACCATTTAAATAAGCTTACAAACAACTTGGGGGAAATGTAGGGTTCTTTAGTGTGACTACAGATGGGGGGGAGGGGGTGGGTTTCAAAATGGTACCTGGTATCAGCAATGGAGTTTCTATTCACTAACACAGATTTGTGTGAACAGAAGTGCGACATGCTGCTTTGGCAATTTACCCTAAAGCATGATTTTCATGGGGGGTTTTGGTGAGTTTCTTTTGAGATGGCACTTACTACTTCAAATACATTCAGTTCTGCCCTCCCTCTTGGACTCCATTGCTGGAAAAGCCTCATCTAGCCAGGATGACTGGATGCTACAATCAGAACCAGTCAGCACATACTTCTCCAACCAGCAGCCATATGCACATGTACAAAAAATGCTCTCCTCATTAGGGAATGAAGGGAAACTAGGCCTTATTCTGTTCTCATGCCAGTGTAAAGCAGGAGAAAGCACACTGAAAGTCAATGAAGTTACACCACCATAAATGAAGCAGCTTTATCAATGGCGGTTTTACATGACTTGTGTCTATGTGATTGAGAGAGAAAATTAATTTACTTGCATATCACATGTGCCTTTTTCCCAGAAATTAAGACACACATCTCCATTTTGGATTGCTAAATGAAGAAACTGATGACTGCACCAGAATGGAGGCAAGGGGCTGTGGTCAGCTTTGGCTCATTCAGGGCTGAATGCTCTGGCCAGGGCCAACCTTATGAGTGGGCAACATGAGCAACCACCCAGGGCACCATGGTCAGGGGGTCACTGGGGGATGTCAGGGAGGCACCCCCCCCAGCAGCTTTCTACCCCTGCTTCTCCCCGGCTGATCCCCACCCTCCCAGTCCCCGCCTCCAACCACTGCTTAGGAGGAGCCAGGCTGGGCAGTGCATTCAGCCGCAGGAGCAAATTCCCCATCCCCCGTGATGAGGCCAGGGAGACACCACAGCACTGGGAACCAAGCAGGGGATGGAACCACCTGCCCAGGCAGCCACACCCCCACCTCCCCGCATCCCACCTATCCAGGGCTGGTTGCACAGCTGCAGTGGGATGTCACAATTGCTCCTGGCCTCAGTGGTGACTTCACTTGGGCACTTGGGCAGTGGCAGGCCAGGCTGCTAGGTGGCTGCAACATGACAGCTGGGGACAGGGATGAGCCAGGGAAGGAGACCACATGCCTGGGCAGCTGCACTCCCCCTGTCCCTTCCCTCCCCACGCTCTGCCTCCCCACCTGCCTCTGCCTGCAGCAGTACTGCTGATTTAGGGGACAGGCAGTGGTGCATGGGTTGGGCACCAGGGCAGGGGTGCTGGGGCAAGGGGAGAGAACACCAAAATACAAGTTCACCCAGGGCACCATTTTCCCTAAGGCTAGCTCTGGCTCTGACCACATGGAGCAGAGGCAGATCACTTCATCAGCATCACTCTCTCATCCCCTGCTATTCTGCAAGTTTAACCCTCTCATAGCCACTGCAAAATTATGGCCTTGAGAGGGTTGACAACAGTAGCTCTGAGTGGGTTAAACCTGCGGAGCAGTAGAAGGAGGGGGAGTGATGCTGACGAGGACACTTCATCCTGGCTCCATGCAGCCAAAATGTTCACCCCTGGCTGAGCTGGTATCATGGCAGGTGAGATTCTGGAAAAATCTTTTTTTACTCAGCCTTCTTATAATAAGGTGTGTGTCTTATTTGAAGGCATGTGGTATATGAATACAGTAAGTATTAAAAGCATTGTTAAGTGCCCAATCTAGTCATGCATGCTGCTATGCTGAGAGTGCGTACTAACAAAGATTCAGTTGAATTGTTTTATACCTTTGACATACCTGTAAGACTGGAGATCCTAAAATGTACAGATTGTTGCATACAATGTTTCCAGAAAGCGTCCTATGCTTTGCTCGTCAGAGGCCTAGAATCCAACTCTCTTCCTATGTTTTGCAGCACAACACAATGACAGACTCAATCCTAAGGACTGATCCTACTCCTTTCTGGTCAATGAAACTTAGACATTAAGTTCAATATGTTGATATTTCAGGGTTTTACATGACCATTCATGATGGAAACCACAAAAGAAAGAAAGAAAAGAAAGTGTTGAGCCCTTTAGTATAAGATGTAGTTATTTTTTGCACTCCTGTGGCAAAGTGGCTTTCCCTATTCAAAAAACAGTGTCTTTAGATGGCAAGTCTGTATCTTTTGAATGGCTAGGGTCCAACCATGTCTTTGTATATTTGCCTCTCCAAGTAGTGTTACCATCCATACCATTCAGTTCTTTTGGTAAGAACTGAAAAGGAAGTGGAACATAGACTCCTGGAAGATGATGGACTTAAAATGCTTATAAGCAAAAACAGTTTAACAATAAGGATGACTTCCTTCATATTGAATAGATAACTGTAAAGGGGAAAGTAATTTATCAGCTTCACCATTAAAGGACATCTGTAATATTAAACCTGGGAGGCTTCTAAAAGCAAAGAGCAGTAGGGTTTTTAAACAAAGTTTACTTTACTATAGGGCATTGTTAAATTCTGAGCTTTAAGAAATGTGGTTGTGCCGCTGATACCTTAATATTACTTGATTGCTGATACCAGAACTATCAAAGCAGCCTCACCCAGTTTTTAATTATTCCCACTATAAGTTGGTCTCCTAGACTCTCTGGAGTCTAAGGTAATTTTCAGCAACTCCAGACACAGGAGAGCATTTATCCTGGGGTATATCCCTTTTAAGACATTCCTTCTAGTGTGACTGTTGAGACAGCTGAATACAAAGTACATATTTTTGGTTACCATATGTTAGTCAGTTGTTCTCTGCTCAAAACTCTCTTAGGTCCAGATTGTGGCTGCCCTTATAAGAGGGAGAAAAAGGCTTTTTTCTGTCTTATACATCTCTTGTACCCTTATGGTGCAATGACTTATGGTCCCCTGCTATCATTTGTGTTAGCCAAGTAGCATAAATCCTAGATTTCCACTGTGTTGTAGGGGTGAACTCCTATAGATCCCACAGTAGATTTTCAAGTTAAGCTCCCTCGGAAGGGTAGAAGTGAGACTATCCTTCCTCAGGTGCAGCTGTTCCAACTCAAATTGCCTTCCCCCTCCATAACACATCAGAGAGGTGAATCAAGGCTCTAGTTTGGGCAAGAGATGGGGATGGATCAATTGCTAGAACAAGGCTTGAACACTTTAAGTCTAGGTCAGGGCAGTGCTACTTGTCCCTCTGACATTCATGCATCAATTTTACATTTAAATTTATCTACATGGCATTCTATTTTGCACCAACACTTTTTTTTTCCCAAGCCATTGCTTACTGTTGCATTTACTCATCTTCAAGAGCTTACATTCTGTTCTGTTTCATGCTTTAGTGCAACCATGTTG